AAGAAACGAAACTAGTCCCAAGAAACAAACAGGCCTTTATTGCGCAGTCTGAGAGGGACCCCAAGTGACCCAGTCGCACAGCACGTGGACAGGATCAAAATGGCAGAGTCTGGGAGGGTTTCTTCTTTTAGGAGTCCTGGGGAGGACTAAGATGGTATTTCTTGGAATTTGTTAATTAAGTTAGGTTTTAGCTATTTTGATCAGGCTCAGAGACCCTTATCAGGTTCCATTGTCTGGTCTGGTCTTTGATATGACCAGCTTAGATGTTATCAGGTTTCTCAGGAGTGATGAAGCTTGGGGGTATGATGACTGGAGGAAGATTATAGCAGTTGCCCCACCACCATTTCTGCCCCCCGCCCCCCAGCTTCATCACTTCCTGAGAAAGCTTCATCTTTCTCCTAAGGAACAACAGGCAGGTAGAACTGCTGACTGCTGATGTTTTGGTCTTGAGCTGGGTTCTCCTTAAACTGAAAATATAAGATATAAAATATCAAACAGAAGTAAGACTACTGCAAATAAATGATCTCTAGTTAGATTTTTAATGCATCTATGTTCCTGTGATGCTACCAAGCCAAAGGCGGGTGGCTCTAATCCACGGCCCTCAGATCAGTTCTTAATTGTTTTTGTTCAAACATTCTTCTAGGTCGTATAGCACTGGTCTGTCCACTTGCTGTACAGAGGTAACTCATGGTTGCTGTGAAGCTGAACACTGTGACCCTGATGTGTCAAATGTGATCTGGCTTACCCATGGCAGACAGCGTTTGGTGGGGCTCCCTGATTAAAACAAGCTTGGAAGCAGGAGTGGCATCCACTTCCGTAAATAGCTTGCCTCCGGAAACCCTAAGAACCTGGAGAAAGGACGAAAGTTATGCAGGGGTCGAGAACTTTCGTTCATAGGGTCGCTATGAGTTGCCTACTACTGGACGGCACTTAACAACAACAACATGTGCTTGTTATTATTATTTTTGTTGTGTACCACAGAGTCGTAACTGGCCCATAACTGACCCTTCAACAGGTTTTCAAAGGCAGAAATCAAGAGGGAGGAGATAGCCTATCCTTCGCCAATGTAGCAGCTGGAGGATTCGAACCCTGTGCCTTCAGGATTACAGCACAGATTCTTACTAGTTGGCCACCAGAGCTTCCTATTTCTATTTTTAAAGCGCTCTGGTGGGAAGGTAGAGTTCAGCTGCTAACTCAGAGGCCAGAGGTTCCAGCTCACCAGCTGCTTGTTGGAAGAAAGATGAGTCTGGCTTCGTCCACAAGGGTTCACAGCCTGGGAACCTGGTGTGTGTGTGTGTGTGTGTGTGTGAGAGAGAGAGAGAGAGAAAGTTAGTTCAACTTTGTCCTGCAAGATCCTGGTGAGACAAGATGGACTCTGACAGTAGGTGTCCCATCTCTTTTCAGTAATTTCTCAGTAGCCTCTGATGTCACCACCCACGGTCCCTGCCTACCCTCAAGGCATCTCTCTTGTCACTTCACTCTGTGCCCCAGACAAACTCTGGGTTTCTGGGGTGGGAGTGGTGTCTTTCATGCCCTGCCTTTGGACAGGACCCTCCTTTTCCTGCACTGTCCCTGCCTGACCCGTGTCACTTGCCCTGTATGAAGTTCCAGTGCCCTCTCTGTCCAGTCATGCTTCCTCCACGACTATCTCTCCGTCACCAGCCCTCCCCGACTCAGAAGTCATTTCCTTACCACTTCCTCATTTGCGCTGAGGCCCAGGCAGTAGAAAGGTCCTGCTCAGTCACATGGAGCCCAGCCTCCTCGGTCCCCAGACCAGGAGCTTGTGGACATCAGGAAGCAAGTAATGCTGGTCATTCTGTCCCCATTGCCACCTGGTAGGGAGCCTGACATATATAAAGCGTGTGGCCGACTCTGGGGAATCAACTCATCAAAACCCCTAAGCCCATCGCCTTCAAGTTGTTCTTCCTCAGAGCGGCCCTGCAGAAGAGTGGAACCGGCCCGTGGGCCTGCTGGGCTGTGGTCAGCAGAAGCCGATGGCCTCATCCTTCTGCTGTAGGATGAAGAGAAAGGCGGCCATCTCCACCCGTGCAACTTACTGTCTCTCAAAACCTGCTGGAGGGCCAACGAGGGCCTGTTCTGACTTGACAGTGCACAGCAATGGCATGACCAGTGGCGTGTTGCACTGCCAACCACAGGCCACGTGTCTCCAGGCCTGGAAACCACCAGTGGCTCTGTGGGAGAGACACGCCACCTTGGAAACCTGATAGAGGATCCCAAAGAGTTGAGAGATACGCAGAGGCAGGAAACAGAGCAGAACTGAAGGTGTGTTGGCTCAGGCCAGGGAGTTGACAGTGGCTTCATACAGATGTGAAAACCAGACAATGACAAAGGAGGAAGAGGGATCGATGCCTTTGGGTTGTGGTGGTAAAGAACATTGACTACACCATGCTCTGGCCAAAGAACAAACGAACGGGTCTCAAAAGAACTGCAGCACTTTTCTTCCTGCCCAGTAAGTGCAACAATGAATGGATGGAAATCCAAAATCTCTGTAAATGTTCATTAAAATTAATAAAATAAAATAAAAAAAGAAGTGCAGCCAGAATGCCCTGTAGGGTCCCTAAAAATCAGGCTGACTCACCGTTGGTGACATGGTCTTCAAGTTTAAGAGGATGATGGGGGGAGACCAGAAGGAGAACTTGGGAGAGTTGATGTAATGTTCTAAGAAACTGAAAACCACAGGTGACAGTGGAATTGGCTTAGGATAGGACAGGATTCTGAGCTAGAATGCATAGGGTCACATAGGCGACTTGATGGCACATAATAACAACATTTAAAAAAATAATAATTAAAGGACATTTCACTTGTTTGCTTTTTTCTTTTTGGAAAATAGGACTCTCAGTGTCTCCCCTCTGAGTCTCCTCTTATCTTTAACTCCCTGCAATTGCGTGTCTCTCCTCCCCATCTCAATGTCTGAAGAACTCTCTGGAAGGCCTCCTCTTATCCACTTCTGGTAGCCTTTCCCAACCTTCCTGCCTCTCAACATTTCTGAGTCGTTGGCCTGTGGTTTCCACTTTCTTAGAACATTACATCAACTCTCCCAAGTTCTCCTTCTGGTCTCCCCCCATCATCTTCTTAAACCTGAAGACCATGCCTACTGCCGGTGAGTCAGCCTGATTCCTAGGGACCCTGAAGAGCATTCTGGCTGCAGTTCTTTCGAGACCCGTTCGTTTGTTCTTCAGGCAGCACATGGTGTAGTCAGTGTTCTTCATCAGCATAATCCATGAGCATCTCCTCCCTCCTTTGTCACTGTCTGGTTTTCACAGGCACATGAAGCCACTGGAAACTCCCTGCCCTGAGCCTGCACACCTTCAGTTCTGCTCTGCTCTGCTTCCTGCCTCTGAGGAGCTTCCATGACTCCAGTCACTGTGTCAATCAATCCATCTCAGCCAGGGTCTTCCTCTCTTGCGCTGTCCCTCCACCCTTAGAAGTATGATGTCCTTCCCTAAGGACTGTCCCCTCCTGGCAACATGCCCAAAGTATGTGAGATGGAGCTTCAAAATCCTCACCTGCAAGGAGCAGCTATGATTAAAATAGATGTCCATGACAGACTGGGGATACACTAAAACCACTAGCTGCAAGGCTGGCTGTTCAAACCCATTGTTGTTTGGTACTGTCTAGTTTGAACCTACTCATAGCTGACCCTCCAGCGGATTTTCAAAGGCCACTTAATCACAGGGAGATTACCTATCTTTCTCCCTCAGGGCAGCTGGTGGATTCAAGTCTCATGCCTTTGGGATGACAATGCACCCTCATTGCCATTAGTCTACCAGAGCTCTGCAGAAACTTTCCTGTGTTGTTAAATGCCTTGGTGTGGACTCTGCGTCACAGCTCGCTCCCTCCCTCCCTCGGAGCAGGCTGAGACACACTGCCAGCGGCGTGCCATCTTCACAGCGTCAGGGATAGATAGTTACATGGCCAGTCTTCACTTCTGGCAACATCACACTTTGGATTAACTTTGGTTCAAGGACAACAGTACCTACCACGGGTGGGGTGGGTGTGTGTGTGTGTTAGATGTCACTGAGCCCCTTAGGTCTCCCAGAGGCCCTGTGAACAGCATCAAGAAACCTTCTCTGTCCTGCATCTCCCTCCAGTCTCCCCTTGCTCAAGCCCTTTGTTCCGTTCCCTGGGTCAATCCATCGCAGGGTCTCCCTCTCTTTTGCTGACCCTCACTTTTCTCACCATGGTGTCTTTTTTATTGATCATTCTAATTTTTGAAATGTTTTCTTGGTTTGATGCAATCATTCATATACATTGTGTTTCATACATAGACATTGTATTTTATGCAATCCTTCATTTGCATTATATTTTACATCATGAATTATCACTGCCTTATGCCTATTATCACCTCATCTTTTCAAATCCCCATTGAATAGGTTCAGTGATGTCCTTTGTTTTAGGGACTGGTCCCTCCTGTTGACAAGCCCATAATCCAGGAGGCCAGGAGTTTAGTGACTATGTGGAATAATATAGTTTCAACCCTAAATAATTTGCTTTAATATTTGTATAGGAACAGACAGACACACGATATGGAGAGGGTTCCACTACAGCGCAGCTCTCTTGTAACAAACCAGCCACTCGAAAGAAACAGGGTTTTTCCAGCGGGTAATTCCCTGGAGTTTGAGCCCAGCACAGAGAATGTCCGGTGCAGCTGATTCTGGACCCGAGGCTCACTGCGGGGCAGTGTTTTCCCAGAAAAGCTTCTATTTCCAGGTTGGTAGAGTGTTTTGTTTTGTTCTTTCATTAAATCATAAACTAGACGGAGTCCTGCTATTTACCAAGTGCGCCCCCGGGCAAAACTCTTGCTAAAGCCCCAGGAGCCCAGCTTCCTCCAGGCCGGCCGGCCGAGTGGGCAGGTCGGAGGCGGTCACATTCCCTGGGGGATGGGGGTGTGTCCCTGCTCCCCTCGCTGCCCCGGTGCTGGCGGGAGAGCGGTGGGCTGTGCCCCGGAGGCGGAGCTCGCTCGCCGCGCCCTGCGCCCTTCACGCTGGAGGCTGGTGGCGGTGATGGGAGGCGGTGGCCAAAGGCGGCCCTTCTCGGCCTGCGGTGAGAAGGTGCAAAGGCGGAAGTCCTCGGCGCACGGGGACAGATGAGGCCATCGCCCGGCTCCGGCTCTGTGTTCGCCCCAGCGGCCCTGCGCCCCTGCCACGCGCCCCGCAGCCATGGCCACGCTGCCAAGCGCTGAGCGCAGGGCGTTCGCCCTCAAGATCAACAGGTAAGAACCCGGAGCTCAGCACCGAGACCCCCGCGACCCTTTGGCGCTCCGAGGCCCGCGCACCGTTCCAGGGCGCACAACCTCCCCGAGGCCAGCCCTTCCGCTGCACCCCTCCACCAGGGTCCCTGTCCCACACCTTCCCACGGCTACACTGCCAGGGGTCCCTGCCTGCACACTCTCTGGGTCTCCTCCCCAAGGCTGCACCAGGGTCCCTTCTCCAGCACCCACTGGAACATCCCCCCTCGCTGCCTGGCCCGGCCCGTGCGCCTGCGGGCTCTGACAGGTGGCCCTGCATGGAGCTTATGAACCGCATTTCCACTGAACCCTTCCGAGCTAGGAGCCCGAAGTAAACTGGGGGCCAGGGCGGCAAGCTGGGGGCGGATGGGCCGCAAGCCGGGAGCCAGAGCGGCGAGCTGGGGGCCGAGGGTGGGGGGGACGAGCCAGGAGCCAGGGCAGCAAGCCGGGGGCCGAGGGGGTGAGCTGGGGTCCGGACCAGGAGCTTAGGACAGTGTCGCGCTGCTGGGAGAAGTTGCTTGGAGTCAGCTGTCTGCCGTCGCTATTTTTATGCCTGGTCCTCAGGAGCTCCAAAGTGGAAAAAATGATTTTAAAAGTTCTCCACTTAAATAAACACCGGAGTGGCATTACTTCTACATTTATAGCTCCAGGCCGTTACCCTGCTTGCCTCCTCCCCACTGGTCTGGTCTCAGCTCAGCGTTCGTAATGGAAATTGGAGGGACTCAGTTGGAGCGCCTGGATGCCCCAAGTTCTCCAGGAGCAGTCTTGGTTTTCAGCTGCTGGAATTGAAAAAGGATTTGAGTTGTGCCTTGCCCTAGGGAGCTCTAGTAGCCTAGTGGGTAAGGAGGTGCACTGCCAACCCACAAGTAGATGGTTCAAATCTACCAACAGCTCTGCTGGCATAAAGATGGTCAGTCTCAGCCTTGGGAAATCCTCCGGAGGCTCAACTCTGAGTCAGTTCTGACTGGACAGCATGCAAGAACCACTGGTGGCCTAGTCTTAGGTGCTGGGCTGTAGCTGAAAGGTCAGTGATTTGAATCCACCCCTCAGGAGAAAGGCTGATTGAAAGGTAATATGATGCTGGTAAGGGAGGGACTGATCTGGTCTGTCCTGCACTGCCCCAGGACTTGCAGGTGAGGTGGGAAGGTTGTCCTCACTGCCTGTCCTCCTCCTGCTGCGTGAAGAGGTTTGAGTCAGGGAATTAGAATCCCAGGAAATAGGCGTTTGGTGCAGTTAACATGTTTGGCTGGGACTGCAACGTGGGAGGTTTGATTCCATCAGACGCAGGGGCTGAATGGCTGGGCGATCTGCTCTTGTCAAATCAGCCACTAAGGCCTCATGGAGCGCAGCTGGCTCTGCACTCCCGGGGGTGCCAGGAAGCTCAGGGACCAGCCGATGGCAACTGACAACAACCACGACTGGAATCAGCTCTGCAAACTGCTGTTACGGTGACACCTGGCCTTGCTCCACTGGTCCAAGTTCAGGGGACGGTCACAGCGCCTCTCTCATATGACAGCTGGGAGGATACAGAGTTTGCAGACCTGGCTCAGGCAGGCGACGTACATGGTGACTGTCTTCATCACCACCAGTTTCACTGTCACCTCATCACCATCCTGGAGACGCCACAAAAGAGAGAGAGAAGGCAAGCCGAGGTTGAAGGAGTTTCCTGAGAGCCTGTTTGGGGCTGGGAGCTTGAGTGTATCACAGAGGATGACAATGCACGGGAAAGGACAGGATTCAGGTCTGTCCGTCGGGTCGCTATGAGTCGTACTGAACAGGATTCGGGTCTGTTCATAGAGTCCCGTGAGTCATACTGGACAGGACTCAGGTCTGTTCGTCGGGTCACTATGAGTCGTACTGAACTGGATTCGGGTCTGTTGTTCGTCGGGTCACTATGGGTCGTACTGGTCTCGAGTGCACCTTACAGTAACAAGGAGGCGGAGCCAGGGCTGGTCAGTGCTGTCTCAGGGTCAGTGTCCTCCCAGCATGCCTTGCATTTCTGGGCCGACCGCATGAAGTCGCACTCCGTGCACCAGAACCCGAGATGGGATCCCACTGGAAGATGCCCACTCCAAACAAATGGAAAACATTCCCTAGTCTCCAGGCCCAACCCAACCCTCCGCCCACCGCCCCATCGTGGCCCTGAGTCAGACATCTTTTAAAGAGGAGACTGCTCGTCCTTCTCCCTCACTGTGTTTGTTAGGTTTGAACTGCTTACCTAGAGGGCTAACGGTATGTGTGGTACCTCGGAAAAGCAGAGAGGATCACGGGAAGAGAGGAGGCGCCTCGTGGAGGTGGTCTGGCTCGGTGGCTGCACCAGTGGGCCCGTGAGGATGGGGTGGGGGCCTGAAGCTCCGCTCTGTTGTCTGTGAGGTCGCTGGGAGTCTGAGATGACTAGCAGCACCTAACAACAGTAACAACAACAACAGATCTTCAGGCAAGAACATGCGTGATCACCTCTGGGCATGCAGAGTTGACGGGGCAGCAGTTGGGTGAGATCCACCAGTCCCCCAAGCAGAAGCCAGCTGCCCTGCCTGCTCCTGTACAGGGGAGCTCCGGGGACCCTGTGGGGCAGCTCTTCTCTGTCCAGTTAGTTATAGGATCTCCGTGAGTCAGAATCAGCCAGGTGGAACTGAGGGGTTTCTTTCAATTACTGTTTTTAGAGTCCAGTGTTACCTTTTGAATGTGTGTTGGGTAAAAGAGTCAGGGGAAAGAGTTTGGGGAAAATTGTTGCTCGAAGGAGTCAATTAATAAGGGCATGCCTCCTATCAATACAGGCATCCCCGGTTGTGCCAAAGGATTGTGGAACTGTGGTTAAAGCGCTTCACTGCTAACTGAAAGATCAGCGGTTCAAGCCACTAGCCCTCCCACAGGAGGACTCTGTGGCAGCCCGCTTCTGTCGCTGTTGCTCTTGTTCTTGTGCACCATTGGATTGGAACCAACCTCCCTCCAGCAGATTTTCAGAGACTGTAACTTGTATGTGAGGAGATTGCTCATCTTTCTCCCTCAGAGCAGCTGGGGGATTCAAACTGCCTACCTTTGAGTTGGCAGCACAACTCCTTACCACTCGGCCAGCAGAGCTCCCTTCTCCAGAGATCACAGCCCTGGAATCAGTTCTGCTCTGTCCTAGAGGGCACTAGGAGTGCGGACTGATGGCCGTGAGCTTTTAGGCTTCTTTGTTTGTTTCTGGGGGTGCAAATGGTTGCTGTGCTGCAGCTGAGCTTGGCTGATACTCAGAGATGGGCCGTTTGAGTCCACCCGGGATGCCTGGAAGAAAGGCCTGGTGGTCTGCTTCCAAGGAGCCAGCTCTTGGGAATCCTACTGCATGTGGTTACACCGTGACACTCAGAATCGCCGTAAACAGACCACCGTTTCCAAAACAGATTCTTTTTAAGTATTTTTTAAAATTAATTTTAATGAAAGTTTACATAGACTTAGAGTTTCTAGTCATTCATTGTTGCACCTTTCTCCCTATCCACCCCCTCCTCCTCAATTCACTCTTCTCCCTGAAAAGAAAGAAAAACCTCCTTCATTGTTATGCAGTCCCTCCCCCCAAGTCCACTTCACTGTGCAGCCTTCACTCTGGACTTCCGTAATGACAAGAATACCCAGTCGTATATCCCCTTTAAACAGTTCTCTTCTTCATCTGTTTCAATGCAATATACATCATCCTCCCCTCCTTCTCAGTCTTCCCTCAACCCTAATGTCAGTCCCGTTTTACAACAGTGGCACTATGCAATATTTGTCCTTTTGTGATTGAGATATTTCACTCAGCATAATGTCCTCCAGGGTCATTCATTTTGCATAATATTTCATGAGTTTCTTGTTTTTCTTTTCCCCCCTTTCTTTATTATTATTATTATTTTTATTAATGTTAATAAAAATTTACAGAGACTTTGGATTTCCATTCATTCATTGTTGTACTTTTCTCCCTGCCTACCCCTCCCCCAGTACACTCTTCTCTTTGGAAAGTAAAAGAAAAATTCTTTCATTGTTTTACAGTTCCTCCCTCCAAGCCCACCCCACTATGCAGCCTTCATTCTGGACTCCTGTCATGACAAAAATACCTAATCACATATCCCTTTTAAACAGTTTTCTTCATCATATGTTTCAATGCAGTAAACATTATTTATCCCATCTTACTCAGTCTCCCCCCAACCCTGATGTCAGTCCTGTTTTACAACAGTGGTACCATGCCAGTATTCGTTCTTTTGTGACAGATATTTCACTCAGCGTAATGTCCTCCAGGGTCACCCATTTTGAATAATATTGCATGAGTTCCTTATTTTTCAATGCAGCATAGTATTCCATTGTGTGAATATACCCCAGCTTCTCTATCCATTCGTTTGTTGATGGGCACTTAGGTTGTTTTCAGCTCCTTGCTATTGTGAACAAAGCCACAATAAACATGGGTGTGCATATATCTGCTTGGGTGACAGTTATGGTTTCTTTAGGGTATATTCCCAGTAGTGGAACTGCTGGGTCCAATGGTATCTCTATTTGCAACTTTTTGAGAAACCGCCATACAGCCTTCCACAGTGGTTGTACCATTTTACACTTCCACCAACAGTGAATAAATAAGGGTTCCAGTTTCTCCACAACCTTGCCAGCATTTGATGTTTGCTGTTTTGCCAAATTTTGCTATTCTGACTGGGGTGAGATGATATCTCGTAGGTGTTTTGATTTGCATCTCTCTTAGAGCTAGGGATTTTGAAAATTTCTTCATGTGCTTGTTTGGCATATGAATGTCATCTTTGGTGAAGTGTCCATATCCTGTGCCCATTTTTTAATTGGATTATTTACCTTTATCTTGTTGTGGTGCTCAAGTATTTTATAAATTCCAGATATGTCTCTTGTCTGATAATGTCATTACCAAACATTTTTTCCCCATCTGTGGCCTCCCTTTTTCCCTGTTGGAGAAATTTTTGGATGTGCATGGAGATTTGATTCTTAGAAGGTCCCATTCATCTATTTTGTCCTATTTTTAAGTATTTATATAACACTGGATTGGCATGGGGCTGCAGCAACGGGCTGAAATTCAGGAGTGCCCGTGGGGACAGAGTGGGACCACGCTGTCTTGTTCATCTGTTTGTTAGGCTGTGTTGGGTCTGGACACCTACTAATCACAACATCACAGTATAATAAAGTTACCACTTCTTGGTCCTTTAATGGGTTTTACTGTGAGCCCCACTTGATCATGTCCATTTTACAGAGCAGGTAAATCAAGCTTGACAAGGTGCTTGCACAAGTGACCAGATGCGCCCACAGCCAGCAGCCAGCAGACTGAGTGAGTCCATGCTGTTTGGCGTGTGCAACTGAAGACTTGTATTTAGGAGCAAGGGACCGACTCCCCTACCCCTTTTTCATTTCAGCAGCAGCCCTGCCAGTTTATGGTGTCCTGTCAGCGTGCCCTGTGTGAACACACTGACAATGGGATGCTCTGCGATTTCAAAGTTGGAAGAGAAAGTGTTTTCCCTTGCGTACCTGCCTATTATTTTTAAAAGACAATTGAGTTACAAAGTGGCGGAAGTGTCGAAATATGGCTGTCAGCATTCTCAGGAGGTGCTCCTGTTTTCCCACCTTTCTGTGCAGCATGGAGGTGCTACGGGGACATACTCTGTAGCAGTCCAGTGGTTCAAAGCCGGCAGCAGCTGTTTGGGATGAAGGTGGGCAATCTCCTTTCATTAAGATGTTGTTGTTGATCGCTTTCAAGTCAAGCATGACACATAACAACCCTATGAACAAAAGGCCTGAAGCCCCTGTACAACTATTGACATTTATCAAAGTTCATAGAGTTTCTGGAGGCATGTTGTTTAGGAAGTGGGTGCCACTCCTGCTTCCAAAACTGTCATAGTATGTTATTGTTGTCATATGCCATTGAATCGCCTGCGATATATAGCGGCCCTGAACCCTTCCCTGTCCTGAGCCAGTCTCACTAATTCTGACACACCAACCCCCATCATCCCACTTACTGTATCAGTTCATCTCATCCGGTGTCTCCCTCGCCAGTGCTGTCCATCCACCCTTCTGAGGGTACATTAAGATGTACGGCCTTGGAAACCCAATGGAGATGTGATCTGAGTTAGAACAGAGCAAATGGCTGTGAGCTCAGCATTTATAAAGCAGAAATTTATTTAGTGTATTAAGTAGTGCCCCATTCACCCTCCTGGAGATTGCCTTTCCCTGTGCAAATCCCCCTCCAGGACTCCCTGGCTTTGTTTTGCTTTGTGCACCCGGTGGAACTTGTTAAGGCCACACAATTTTTTCCTCAGCCCAGGGTTTGGGGAAGTAGGAAAGGAACCATTCACTGGGGAAAATCATTGTGACCAGAAGGAGTAAAATTTCATTTCAGTTAGTGATGTATTTAAAAAATCCACCCTTTCTGTTGAGTCAGTTCCAGTCCACGATGACCTCGCGGGCCACCTGACTGCCCCAGAAGGTCTTCTCGGCTGGCATCTTTGTGGGTCATCGGGTGATTTGTCCCTGGTGCCACTGGGTGGGCAGAAGTGCTAAACTTCACGTCGGCTGTCAGTCAAAGCATGGGTGCCGCCCAGGGGCCTGCAAGTGGCTTTTGCACGTCTCCATTTCAGCACGGTTGTTGCTGGCGTCATGTGCACAGAGCGAAGGCAGAGCTGGGCCCGCGCTAGCCACTGGCCAGGCTGTTCTCATCGAGTACCATCCAGTCAGAACAGATTCGTAGCTGCTCCCCTGACAGGTTGTAACCGGTGTTAAATTACACGGGAGGAGAGCGACCACCTTCCTCCTGACGTGCATGCAGTTGGTGGATTCACACCTCGTGCCCGAGGGTTGGCGGTGCAACTTCTTACACGAGGGCCATTCATGGTGACGCTGCTTTGGGATTCTAGGCCCCGCTGCATCGACGTCAGCACTGTTGTTGCAGGAACTCCTCTTCTTGTAAACCTTCCATAAACCGAGAACGACCAAGCCCACTGCCTGCACACTGCCCCCAGCTGCCCTCTGTCTCCTTTCCAAGGCTGTGAACCTTGAGAGACGGGATTGCTCATCTTTCTCCCGTAGAACTACTGGTGGGTCCAAACCTTAGCAGCCTGATCTGTTCCTCACACTGCAGCCTGGGCTCCTGTGTGGTGCTCTCCTGCAGCGTAAGGTGGTTTCTAGAACTTACTAGGCTCATGACCATCTCTGGGTGAGCCCAGCCTCATTGCCATTACTCTCCAGGACAGCTCTCACGGCTCTGTACCCCGAGTATCCCCAGGTTCCTCAAGGACCTGGCAGAGTTGCTGTTGTTAGGTGTCATGAGTCGAGTACAACTCATAGTGACCCCATGGTCAACAGATATGAACCCGCTGTCCTGTCCCGTGCCATCTTTGTGTCTAACTCACTCAAGCGCACTGCTGCGGTCACTGTAGCATGCTCCTAAACAAGCAAGTTTAGATTCTTCTGAACACATAACCACTACAGCTTGAATAAATACGCAGTAAAATGAGGCCCCGAGTGATGAGAACTGAAATGCAGAATCAGAAAAACACACTGATGATCCTGGAAGGCTTGAATAATAGAGGTTGAGGATGACGTGGAGCCTGGTGGTGCAGTGGACTGTGCCCTGGGCTGATGGCTGAGAGGCCCCCAGCTGGTCCGGGGAGAAGGACGAAGCCATCCACGCCTCTAAGGTTCACAGCTCAGGAAGCTCTTCACAGGCGGCTCCCCGTGGTCCCTCGGGGCCGTCACCAGCTGGAGTCAGCTCCACGGTAGTGGGTGTGCCCAGGGTTTGGGGCCATTTGCACCTGCCCAGAAGCCCTGGTGATGCAGTTAAAGTGTTTGGTAATGAGCAAACCCACCAGGCGTGGCACAAGTGAAGGATGATGCTTACGTGCCCGGAAAGATGGCACCTTGGAAACCCACCGAACGCTTTTGTCCTGGTCACTGTGCTGTGTGACATCGTTTTAGTGGCAACACCACCAGTTAACATAATGCCCATTCTATGGTGAATCCAAGTCTTTGTCCTTGGATCTCACAATTCATTCACCCCAAGAAGCAGAAACATCTCCTGTCTCCATTGTGCATGTGTCGAAATGGGCACAGACAGGTGGCCGTGTCAACTGTCCCCAGTCACAAGCAGCTCATTTGGGACGGAGCTGGTACACTAACCCTGGAAGCCTGGCTCAGTGTCCAGTCTTTGGGCTTGCAGTAAGATAGCCTGCTGGACAGGCAGGCGACCCAGACCTTCCACAGCAAAGACCAGAGACACCACTGGGAACAGATGAGAACCTGGAGGGAAAAAACAAATAAACAAAAACCGGACAAGAACCCTGAAAGGGAATGGGATTAAAACGAGCAGAGCCTTCCTGCTTCACCACCACCATGCTACCTTTTCAGTCTTATTATAACAAAACAGGTGATATTTATGTTTAACACAACCTGCAAAGTACAGGGCTAAGAACTTGATCCATATTCGCAGAATCAGTTAAGCAGAAAGAGGAACAAGGAATTAAGCATAAAGAATCAGGGGCTGCTTCCTCAGAACAAGGAACTAAAAAGAGAATAAGGAGAAATGAAAATTCAAGAACAAGTTCAGTGAGTGTGGACTGAGGAACAAGGTGAGGGACAGAAATCTTCCATGAAGTGTTGGCTACTTCTCTCTGCAAGGATCATGCAAAAGTAAAAATGTGCGGTCAGTCTGTGTACAGGTGTCTGGGTGGCCGGCAGAGGCAGCAGGGGGTGGCGCTTAGAGGAATTGCTTTACGTTGTCTAATGTCTTCTGAACCCGAGACCAGTAGGAACTCTGAGACAATCACGTTCAGAATCTTTGGTTTTCACTTTCTTTAGAACCATCTTCTTCCAGATTCTCTGAGACATGTCATTTGAAATTGAGACAACTGGTGCTGTTCTAAAGATACTTTATCCCAAACCTAACTCCATTATCATGGGTTCATTACAAGTCACATGGACTGTAGATGACAGAGTGAAACTGCCCTGTATGCTGAGGCCTTTAAGGGAGTGCTTGTGACACAGTGTTTAACATATGGAGTTACTGATCTCAAGTTGTGCTGTTAGAATTAATCCTCCAGCCTCTCCATGAGGAAAGACAGAAAATCTTCTCTTTTTTTAAAAATTTTAAAAAATTTTTTAATTAAATTCCTGGTGGGTTTTTTTGTTTGTTTTTTAAATTTTTATTATTATTTTTAACGTGTACCGTCAAATCAGATCTGACTGGTACAGGAGGAGATTGCTCCTCCTTCTCCAGCAGAGCATCTGGTGGATTTGAACCGCATACCTCTGGGATTGCAGTGCAGCGTCTTGCCAGTAGGTCACCAGAGCTCCCTTGAAAATCTTCTCCTATAAAAATTTTTGTCTCAGAAACCTAGTGGAGGGTAGCTGAGGGTTGAAATGGACTCACCTGGAGGGGGCATTTTTACAGATTCAGACTGCTAGAACTGTTTTCTCATGGATTTGAACTTCCCACCTTCCAGCTAGTAGCAGAATGCTTTGACCTCCACACCACCTCCTATCAGTGCCTTTTAGAATAGGGCCTCTTTGTCTCACTAGGAGTTCTCTGGGCCTCTACAGTTTACATCTCTGTGTGAGGCCCATACGTACAACTGCAGAGCCTCTTGGAAGGAAACTATCAGTAGAGCATGTGATCCCCGAGGGAGAGAGGGTCAGGCGCTGGAGAGGGGACCAGGGCTCCTGTGTCAAGCCTGGACCAAGTGGTGGCCTGGGATGATGGCCAGCTCCCCGTGTTCCCCACCTTTCTCATCAAGGTTGAGAAAATGCTAAGGACCAGAAGCCCTGTGGTGTTTCTCCATGGTCTGTTCAGTGATGGGACCACAGTAACAGGACTTGCTGTCTCTGCTCATCCACGTGTCTGTGGTGACCCAGCAGTGGGCAGCAGCCAGGCTGACTCTCTCTAGGAGCCAGGATGGTACAAACGAGGCCGCCTGGATGTGGTTAAGTGTGTCTCTATGCACTGGAAGTGGCCGTGGAGGGGAGGGTCTGCTGTACGGACAAGCTGGCTGGGTTCTTGTTATGTGCTGTCCGACTCGTAGGGACTCACATACAACAGAACAAAACCTACCCAGTTGTGTGTCATCCTAACAATCTCTGTTGTGTTTAAACCCATGGTTAAAGCCACTCTGCCTGTCCATCTGCTGAGGGTCTGTTTCTCCACGCAGCACTCGGGATGTACTTTTCCTAGGACTCAGAATACCCGGAGCAGTTCGGTTCTGTCTTACGGACGCGCTTTGAGGAGTTTGACTCAGCAGCAGGGAGTTTGCTGGTTTTCATCATCTTGGGAGCAGCTTGCCTGGGTTTGTTCTTTTTCTTCTTTGCAGCTGCTAGTTTCAAAGTGCTAACCTTCAAGTCACCAGCTGGGCACTCAGTCATTGTGTTACCAGGACTCCTGAATCTGGGAATACTTAGAACGAAGCTAGGCCGAGCTCTCCAACCGTGGCCATGAACACATCTGCGTGCTGGGTCCTGGTGAAATCCAGTGAGTCATAAAATCCATCTAGGGTGAGATGTTCATTGTCCGGCAGAGTCCAGGGTCAGGAAGGGATGGGGGAGTGGCAGGACCACCCCAGAAATAGGAAGATAAGAAGCAAATGAAAACGTCACATTTCTCCCAGGCTTAATTTACAGCTGTGAGCATTTCACGTCTGTCCTTCCATGTTTACAAACAAGGCTTTGTTGCATGTTAACCGGTTGTCACGGGGTTGATTCCAACTTGAGGTGACACTCCACCGAGCTCTCAGTGGTTCTCACCGTCTCTGTGCCTTGAATCAGGGGGTTAACGGTGAAGGTAATCCCGACAAGTTCATTCCTTCCTTTCTGTTAGAAGTGTAGCCTTGCTGGACTCTCTCATTGTCTCTGGTCGCCAGGCCTGGGTTGGTACTTTCTACTTTGCTTAATCTCCTCCCGTCTCTTTGCTCTTGGAGTTGGTGCAATCTCTAACCCCTTAGAATAGAATGAGCCGTGGAAAAGGAGGATCCTGTGTGCTATCACAGCCCAGATCAAAGACTAGAGGCTGTGCAGATTACCGGAGCTGGTGGTGCTTTTCTGGGATTGGCTTTGGGGGCCAACACAACACGTTATCATTGCTCAGTGGAGAAGCCTCCACAGACTAGGAGTCAAGGCCACTGCTCATCGTTCTCCTGTGCTTGTTGTTATTAGTCAGTAGCTGCTGTTGAGTTGGCTTCAGTGCACAAGCTATACCCGACCCATCCTATACCCTCTCCACCACTGCTGTTGTGCTACAGTCCAATCTTGAGCTGCTGTGTTTATAGACTCCCCTCCAGAACTCTTCCAAGTGCTTTACTGGAAGGTATTCTGTTGTCACAAGTATGTTGCCAGACCTTTCTTCCTAGTCTTAGCGTAGAGACTCTTCTGAAACCTGAGCCATCATGGAAGACCCTGCTGATATTTAAAGTACCGATGCGTGACACAGCAATGCATAACCACACAGTGAGTCACGCTGGCCAACAGGTGTGGGTCTTCTATGTTGGAGAGAAAAAAGAAAAGTAGGTTACCTAGTGATATTCAGGCTGAACAGAATTCAGTTCAGAAATGCTGACGTGCAAGGGAACCAGGCACTCCTCTCTCCTCATTCCCTGACTTTATGCACAGGTTTAAATGAGGGCATTTATAATCCTGGATTGCTTCCTTTGGAAGTTAACTCATGAGTAGCTGGTGCCCGGCTTCCACTCTCAGTGGCTCTGGTCGGGCTCACATGAGAAAGTCCTGGACAGGAGGGAGGAAATTAATGTAGAGCAAGATTCAAACTCATAAAAACACCAGATTCACCACTCTCATAGCAACAGGTGGAACCTGCAAGTTGGTGGCCTTGAGATAACTTCTTGCCTAGAAT